TTGTTTCCGCAAAAACATTCAGTTTCAAGCACTTTGAAGCGATTAAATTTCGGTTTCGGAGCTTCTTTTCTCATTTTCGCCACTTGAGGTAAGTTTGTCTCAATATTTGGAAGATTTTCTCGGGGGTTGACTTTTGTTGACTTTTCATTTCCCGAGAGTTGACTTTTGTTGACTTTTCCAATTTTGCTCATTTTGCTCATTTTTTCCTCCCCTTTTGCAGATTCTTGAAAAATGGCGGGCAATTCTTCCCACGGTGGAGGCTTTCCAGGTGCCGGCGATGACTTCGATCCCATGACTTTACCCCCGAGGACTCGACCTTTCATACCCGGGAGGTACCGTCCGCCAGTACACGTTCTTCCACGTGCTGTCTTCCGTCACTTCACTAATTTTGACGAGAGAGCACCAGCGGATCTGCTTCTCAGAGAGCCGGAGCAGCATCTCTCTCATGAGGCCCGAGAGGTATTTACCTCATCTTCTGTATTTTACATTCCGCACCCTCGCCATGCTTTAAACATGCAGTTTTAGCTTATGACATAGTACTTTCTTTACATCTTGAACATGTAGTTTCAACACTCAAATTTCTGAACACTCGGTTCATTAATTAATTGCGAACACACAGCCCATATTAGAACACACAGCTCAAACACTGATTTGTCGAACACACAGCCCGAATTCGAAAGTGAACACACAGCCCACACTTTAAATTTTCTGAACACGCAGCCCAGATAGATAGTGAACACACAGCCCACAATTTAACTGAAAGTTGAACACGCAGCCCAAAATTCAAATTTTCTGAACACGCAGCCCAGGTAGATAGTGAACACGCAGCCCACAAGTAAACCGAAAGTTGAACACGCAGCCCAAAATTCAAATACTCTGAACACGCAGCCCAGGTAGATAGTGAACACGCAGCCCACAATTAAACTGAAAATTGAACACGCAGCCCAAAATTCGAATTCTCTGAACACGCAGCCCAGGTAGATAGTGAACACGCAGCCCACAATTTAACTGAAAGTTGAACACGCAGCCCAAAATTCAAATTCTCTGAGCACGCAGCCCAGGTAGATTTTGCATGTAGCTTACTTCACTTCATCGGCATACAGGCCATTCATTTCATTGGCACACAGGCCATTCATTTCATTGGCACACAGGCCATTCATTTCATTATTGACATATATATCCATTCTGAATGCAGGCTAGTTCCCGTAGTGTGCGAGGATATGGCTCCACCATGGCACGGGATTGGTATGCTGAGCTTCCGGAGGGTGTCCGGGATCTAGTAGACTTGGCAGGGTTCGGCCCCTTTTGCGTCGGGTTGTCACGCTGTCCTGCCAGGAGGACCTTGATGACAGCTTTGGTAGAGAGATAGTGGGACACCACCAATTCCTTTCATTTCTCTGCTACCGGGGACATGACCATGACCCCTTTTGATTTTGCTGTATTGACCGGCCTTGATGTCGGAGGTTGGCCCATTCCCTACGACGAGGATATGGGTGAGTGGGAGGCCGCCTGGATGTATCTGCTTGGGGCTCGCCCACCCGTTGACAGGGTCTCTGGGAGAGTCCGCTATACTTGGTTCTCCTCCCATTTCCGGCGGGCTGAGATGGTGCCCGAGACTCCCGAGGAGACAGAGCAGTATGCCCGTGGTTTCCTTATATTCCTCTTCGGGACTACCCTGTTCGCCGACAGAGGGAACACCATTGGACTATACCTGTTGAGCGCTCTAGTCGACCTATCACAGGTCCGTCGATATGACTGGGGTGGCGCTGGCCTGGCTACCCTTTATTTTTACATGAGCGTGACCTCCCGTGGGCGGGGCGACTTACTTGGCGGCTACTGGAGAGCCTGGGAGGTACTTTTCTGTCCCCTTGATTTACATTTCTGCTTTTCATTACTTGCACATTGCACACACAGCGCACTTTTATAGTCTGTATTTTGCCCTCAGCATTCTGTGTTTACATTCTGTACTGCTTTTCTCAGCTATGGGTGTATGTATACTTCCCATCATTAGCCCCAGAGCTGGAGGTGGTAGGGATTCCCGTGATCCCATATTCATTGATATTCGAGGGACCGCACCGGCCGAGACCTCGAGAGACCCTCCCTCGCCTACGGCAGTACTTCGACACCGTGCGACATTCAGAGGTACCTCAGAATTTTCAGTTCTTTTCATTTTCATCTTTGATTCGCTCTGTACATTCTCGATTTCTGATTGGTTTATGCATTTGTCATCCACAGATCACATGGCAGCCCTGGGCGTCTCTGGATGACGGCCTCCGACTTCAGTACACCGGGGCATCGGACATTTCCCAATATAGGGTCCTGCTTGAAGGGCCGGTTGCCAGGGTATGGTTCCTGGGGGAGCGCTTTCTGCGCCAGGTATGGGGATATCTTTCTCAGGATATTCCCGCAGTACCTCCAGCCAGTATGCGGACTGCTGACAGGCTCTCTTTCTCAGAGGTAGTCGGCGCCATGCTGGGCAGTGATGCTTTACTACTTGTTGAGGAGGGGGACTACGCCACTTACCGTCATATATATTTGATGCCTCCATTGACGGAAGCTCGTATCCCGATGATGAGGCCTGCCGGTATGTCATCCTCGGGCCAGGCTCAGGCTGCAGGCGCCCCTTCTAGTAGCAGGGCTGGCACATCCAGGGGTGGGAGTAGACCGGTTCCTCCGACTTCGCCGACTTATACCCATCCTGGATGGCCAGATATGCCGACTGAGTTGATGGGGTGGCAGTATGGGACTACCTCTCCGATTCCGATCCCGATAGAGCCTCCGATGTCCGGTCATCGATATGTCAGAGACCCCGACTCGCCACCGGTATGTTTTACAGCTTTGGTTTATCACTCAGATATTTGGACATTCATTCCTTTACTGACACCCTTGCCTTTGCATATGTAGCCCCCTGTTGAGTATATGGATCAGGTGCTCAAGATGGTAGACTCACTTGAGGGGATGGTCCTACGGAAGGAGGCACAGTTGTCTGTTGCGGGCATTCAGGTACCCTTCAGTTTTCTAGCATTTATCATACTTCTGATGACATGCTGATTTCTACTGCATCGATAGACTACTTGTGTAGAGCACATCTGACACACACCCCACTTGTACATTGTATTTACATACTCCCACTTTCATGTAGCCTTTGTTTGCATCTGCATCTGACGTATATATCTGAACTGATGTATTTGAATTGACCTTTTTGTTTTTCAGATGCCTTCTTGGTCTGGTCAGCCGCAGGCTAGGCTGCCTGGGCCTCATTGGGGAGCTGGGCCATCTGAGCCTTTTCAGGGGGCGGGGTCATCTCGGCCTTCCCGGGGAACCGGGCCATCTAGGCCTTTTCGAGGAGCTCGAGGAGGGCCCGTCCGCAGACGTAGGGCTCATGTTGTGGAGGTGGAGTCTGACGAGGAGGAGGAGGATGCTGAGGCTACCGACCGTCAGTTCGAGACATCTGTTGAGGAGGGAGGCTCCGGTTTTGGCTCGGGGAACAGAGGTGAGGCTGAGGAGGATCCTGAGGATGACAGCTCCGATTCTGACGATGGTGTGGAGGTTGTCCCGCAAAAGAGGACGAGGCGTACTTCTCGTTCCCGCTCCCGAGGACTTTGATGTTGCTATTTCCTGCTTTATTTTTCTTTTTTTTTTTACTAGTAGTTTGTAGCACTTTGCACATGGTTAGGCAGTTTTATTTTTGTAAAACTTGTACCCTTGATTGTTGTAAAGCATGATGAAATGAAATAGCTTTGAGAAGATGTTTGTATTTTAAACTTTTAGCATCGCATCGCATCATTATATTTTGCACAAAAATGAAATTGAATGGTAATGCGCATTGTGTAATCACCTAGTCAGGTAGTGAACCGACGCAACAAAATAAACAACTCAACTTACTAAGATATAACAGGACCTTAGAAAGTTTTACAACTCGATAAGCAAAATGCAACAACGCAAATAAACGAGACTTTAATAAAATGCTTAAACAGAGAGCAACAACTCAAAAACACGAAACACGTCCGCTCGACACACAACTCGATAAGCAAAAACAACAACTCGATAAACAAAACTTCAACAACAACAAAGTGTATTTCTGACGATCTGGGCATCGGAACGCATCCGAAACAGAGGGAGATGAAGGCCTTTGATTCTCCCGTTGCACGGAAATGCTTGGAACTTTCCCTCGAAGAGTAAAACAGGGCCGAGGAGATACATTGCAGCCTTGCCAGCCATCCCCGGGAGCCGGCCGGCCATTTTTGCAAAAAGTGAATGGCTGGCCAGCCATTTCTGCAGAAAGTAAATAGCTGGCCAGCCAGAAAAAGTAGCTGGCCGGCTATTCAGTCCTGTAGCCATCAGATTTTTGACACGTGTCCCCGTGAATAGTGTTTTTCCTTCTATAAAAGTCTCAACTTCGGGAACATTCATTTCATCTTAGTTTTAGACAAAAATGGAGGCATTTCTCGCAGAAAATGTCATATCTTGGATCTCTTCTCTGGATGGCTCGGAAAAGTTGAATTTCCGGGGTTTCGGCTTGAATGCACTATTCACGCTGAGCCGAACTCGGCTACATCTCCCTTTTCTCCATGCCGCGGCAAGGTTCTGGAATCCAGTGACGCATGTTTTCAGCTTTGGCGGCCAAGAGATGTGCCCCACTTTCGAGGATTTTCAGGTTTTGATGGAGTCTGAATGCTCTGAAGTGATCTTGCCCCAGTTCCGTTTTGGTCACGCCCAGGCTTTAGGGCAGATGTGTGGGCTCACAGCGCATGACGCTCGATCTCTGATCTGCAGTGGAGAGCTGGACATCCTCGGCTTGATTCATCGTTTTTCAGACGCCGGTGACCGCAGCAACCATTATTGGCAGGGTTTCCGGCAACACGCCCTCTGCTTATGTTTGTTGTCTCACTTTCTGCTTTCCTCGGGCTTTGGCGGAGCTAGCATTCGCCTGATTGAAGTTGCCCAAGGCTTGAAAGAAGGAAAGAGCTGTATTGCCATGACTTTGGCCGAGACACTGATGGGTTTAGATTCTGTCTATCGCCGGGAGGTGACTAGGTTTGCCGGGAGTCCACTGCTGTTGCAGGTAATGTTTCCCACCCGACTTCACATATATATTTGCTCACATCACTCGGCCCTCAGGCTCGTTTTTTTTTCTCACAAAACCCTTGTCTCACTTTTCTCTCATCGTACATCTCTCTATTCTTTAATCTCTCACTTTCCATCACTCCCCTAGGTATGGTTAATGGACAAGTTGCAGGTTGTGGACTCTTGCCCGGCCTATTCAGCTCGAGGCTACTTCTTTCGGCAACGCCTAGTCAATGCTCTTGACGAAAGGTGGTGGTTCGATTGGATGTGCAATTTGTCCGCAGACGGCATTGCTTGGCGTTGTCCTTGGCTCAACCTCCCGGCAATGAGCTACAGTATGTCTCGGTTGATTGGGATCCAACTGATTGGTCTAACCCATTGTGTATTCTA